GTTGTCACGGTACGATCAAACGCCGGCTTATTGTCTACCTCACATAGACGTACCCAGAGCTTCAGCAATTTAGCAATGGGAATAAATGCACTGAAAATCCACTTAGTTGCCTTCGATCCCTTAATGTGAATTGAGTAAAAGTCGATTGACCTCAACCATTACACCAGTGGAGCTTTGGTCCTTATCCAATTAAAACAACCATACGAGTTGCAGTTTACATTCATTTTACATCCATTCTTACATAGGCACATTCATTTAGTTGACAGAGGTTTAAAACCCATGTGGTCTGCAGTACCATGTATCACCTCCGAACATAGGGGGAAGGGAGTATTGTAGAGTGGATCTTTCTGCTTGGGAAGCAGGTGCTGCTACTTTAGAGCTATTGAGCACAGTCTGTGCATTCAATGAGTGCGCGTCTCTTGCGGCTTAATGGAGACACGAACGGGAGCTAGCAATATGCTAGCTTCTGCATTTATCCTCATCGTCAGAATACTACCACAAAAAGCCCGAGCTCACAGAGAGTAATTGGCAGTTTGGGTAAGGGTTAAAATGCTCTTACCTACCTCCTAACTGAGAATGCAGATGTCGTAGAGCGAGCACTGCAGAGTTTCCATCAACCAGGTACACTGGTATTTTGGTAGTCTAGTTGAGGCAACTAATGGCCAGTTTGAGAGAGAGGACGTTTCAAATAACTCTTTGACGAATTAAAATGAGAGAGACTCAATAACTTAAAATCCTTTTGAAAAGGGTTTATACGTCAGCCATTCAAAATTAGTTGTCGCCAATTAGCTCTCTCTCACGAATTTAGTCAGATGTTGTTTTAAAAACAAAAACGACATTCGTTCAGCTTTCCTCGTAATGCCTACGTTAGCATTTACTTCACTTCCGTGTAGGCTATAAACAGGCGGAAAGGAACAGTATATGCTGGCGTTTTTGAATCACTGAGTATGCGATTGAATTTTTGCCTTTCAGTCACGCTTATCCTCCAGTTCTTCGACGCTTGAAGGGTATTACCCAAGTGGCGTCTCTGTGACCCCCACAGCAACTTGTGATTCCACCTCGAGCAGTGTTCTCAGTCGGTTCGAAAGTCATCAAGGAGGACCCCTGCAAACAGCGCCACAGCAACAACACCACCAACAACAACAGCAGCAGATAATCGATTTGGAGGGCCTCGACATAGATTTCATCCTTAGCAGTTCCGTAGAGCAGAGGGATGAGGCTTCCACGACTACATTGGTTTCAACAAGCGCCACCGGGGGTCATTTAGTGCCTCTAGCCCAATCTCCTCAGTACACTACTTCCAATCCTTCCACCTCCACCACTGTCACCTCTGATATGATGTATCCCAAGACCGCGTCTACAACACCCTCTTCGACTACCGTCTTTACTGGTGTCGTTCCTACAGGCGGCTTTTCCTACGCCTCTAATTTGGACCAAGTCTCCGTTCCCCAGTACACCACCCTTGGTGCTTCCCCATCCACCACGCGTTGGGAGCAATCGGGTTTCTATAGCAGTGCCTGCGTTCCCCAATCCTCCTTGCCTCCATCAGCCTTCAAAGTGACACGCAAAGACGACCTTCGGTACTCCACAGTTGGGTATCAATTCTGCCCCCAAATTACCCACCTACCAGATCCCTCTCAGCATCCACCTCCCTCGGCAGCAGTCTATCAGACCTCCTTCATCTATCCAAAAGATGCCGAGTTTTACTCGCAACGCGGTCTCGTCAACGCATTGACACCACCCGCCACACCACCAGCACTAGGTGTGAAGTCAATACCTACACGACGGAGGATGAGAACAGCGGGCGGTGGTGGTGGAGCGAAATCAACTGTTTCTTCAGCCAAGAAAAACGTGGCTTTGATACACATGTGTCCATTTGGCACCTGTGCCAAGGCCTACTCTAAGTCTTCGCACCTGAAAGCGCACATGCGAGTGCATACGGGAGAGAAGCCGTTTCCTTGTGATTGGGTTGGTTGTAACTGGCGGTTTGCGCGATCTGACGAGTTAACACGACACTATCGAAAACACACTGGAGACAAGCCCTTCAAGTGCAGCGTCTGCCAACGCGCTTTTGCACGCAGCGACCATCTCACATTGCACATGAAGAAGCACCGCAATCCTAGCTAACAGGTTACAGAAATACCGTCGCATTTAGCTTTTTTCCTACCTTCCCTGCGAACAAAAAACATCTTCCTATTCAACTCTCTTGACTTTCATTGTCTCGCTTGACAGGCGCGACTCCAGACGACGTACTGAAACATATCACAAATACTACGCATTACCCGGCTGTGCACTACATTTGGTTACTGGAATTGTGGACAGTGATGTTTTTAATCGGTTAATTACTCCAGACACACACACCCACACACTCACACCGGCATGCACACTCTAGCATAAGCCTATACATACTATGGACAACCGAC